CACCACCAGTCAATTGCAAAAGGCAGCTTTACTTGGAACAGCTTACATCCTACAAGGATACCTTTAACAACATCAAACAACAACATCTGCCTATCCCCGGTCCTTGGGAAGGACTTGAAAAGTGGATAAAAAGGCCAAATCCAGTCTAAATATCTGGCTGACTGTGCGACCAACAATAATACTGTAATAATAGCCATTTATATTGGGTTTTTAACATTTTCATTGTCACCTTAAACTTTTATAGCAACCTGCCAGGTCACCATATTATAACCTCCATTTGAAGACTGAGTGGGGGCTAAGACAGGAGACAGCAGCTTTCCTAAGGCCACTCAGTGTTCACAGTAATTTCACTTTTTATTACCTGCAGCAAGCCATGTTTTATTACATTGCAGCCAACTCCTGAACACTGCTGCTGTCTTAATCTGTGTCTATTATTTCATGAAAAGATTCCAAATTTCTTTCCATCCTAGTATATTCTACCTTTTCCTTCAAATATTGGATCCTCCAAATTTAGTCCTGCTAATATTGCTTCTTTGGAAGAACAATTACTTAAAAAAAAACTGATTAGAAAAAATGTATATTTTCTTTGCAAAATTAATGCAGATATAGATTTTCTTGATGAAGAATATACTTTAAGGCACAGATTTATGATCAGTCCCATCTACATGTATGCATTTACATGTAACACCAAACCACTCCTTGGTGTAACAAGTAACAAAAATCACAGAAGTGGAATGTGAGATTGAGTGGAAAAAAACACATGAGGTAAAGCTAGTCATAAGTAATCTATATATGGAAGAGAAGCTGGTTAATAGTTCAGCTCATAAATAGCAGCTCAGTCCAGCTTGCAAAAAGCTTGGAAGAAGTGATTCAAAATGTTCAAAGAGATGCTGCCTTAACAAAGTCACTAATAAAAAAGAACTGGAGGTTCCTCTAGTAGTTTCCAAGATTCTATACTGTACTTCATGCAATCTGAACAAAAATCAGAATGGAGTATCTTACAGCAAAGTAAAGTGGTTTCACATAGATGCAAAAAATGGAATTCTGATTCTGTGCTGTTTAATACTAACATTGGTAATTAATTTAATAGCAGATTAGCCAACAATTGCTCTAGCAGATTAAATTATGGAGACTATTTTTAATTAAATAATATACATTTAACCAATAATCCTGAGGATTCAGGGCATACTTCCTTTTTTTTCTACAAAGCTCCTTTGATTCTGATGTGTGATTGCCTTTATAAAAAGACAGGCAAACTTTTGGGTCAGCAGGCATATCTAATTTTGAGTGTATATTGGAGTGATCTCATAAAATGGTTGCTATGGAGGTAGCAAGATAGAAACAATGAGCTCCTTTGCTGGGTATATACAAGCAAAGGCTGAACAATCTTCTGTTTTGGATGCTTCATATAGATCGTTGTATTCAAGAGTTGAACTAAATAGTATAAATGCTATTCCAAATTGTAATTCTGTGTGGACACAACCAGTAACATTTATCATCAAAAGGCAAACTTGGGAGGTTGTTCTCCATTACCTCTACCACTTTGGCTTGCCTTTTAGGGGAGGGGGATCACAGAGAGGTGAAGACAGTTCCAGACAAAACACTGGCCTGTTTCTATGCACCACTGTTATTGTTTAAAAATGCTTACTGGATATACAAGGCCTAGAGGCACTCTTGCAAATTAAGATGATGCTAGAAGTTGGTGCATTATTTTCAGCATGCCAGTTTCCTTAGTAATAATTTGAATTTAAAAAAAAAAAGTCAGGTGGAAAAATAGTTCAGCAGACACTGGAAAGATATCTGTGGACACTATGATACCCTAAGAATTATATATTCATTCTTTAATAGACAAAAAAACCCACAGAGACTTTCTATCAACAATTGCTAGTAGCTTTCATTTAATATATGCTAGGTTCTCATCATTTTCTGTTACACCCCCAAAATTCAATGTATATATTAAGGTTGTGGAAATACATATTGATCTCATAACTTTATTTAAATAATAAGTCGGTCAAAAAGCAGTTGACTATTTACCTAATCGTTCTGCAACATGCTTATAACCCTGTAAGAGGTATAACAACTTGCAAAAATAATTTGTCCTTGTCTTTTACTCTGAACTTGACATTAGTAAAACTGCAGAATTACTCACATGAAGCAAATTTAATAATAGAAAAGCAGTCATATATTTAGCAAAATTCAAAACAAGAGAAATTATTACACACACTTTCCTCCAGTTACCAATTTTTGGTTGCTCACTTAACATTAACAATACAATGGACAAACTCAGTAATCTACAGACAATATTGTGATCTAATTATTCTGTTTACCAACACTAAAGTACCTTTAGTACCTTCAACCTGAGGTCTGGATTTGTGGCAAATAATTACATTTAAAGTCTGGACCAAATATCAATTAAGACAATCTTAAGTTTCTACAAAGATGACACTGTGTCCTAAGTCTCAAGTATTTATGAGACTTCTACAAAATGTGTTACCACTGTGAGCAAAGAAAGGGCAGAGTGTAGTGCCTTTGTATTATTAATATTCTGCTTTGTTTCCAGATTTGTTAATGGCAGCTCCAATACTCTGAGAATTATAGAATCATGGACTTGGTACAGGCCATTTCAACTATAAAGTCCAACATCCTGCTCAGATCAGAAATCCAAATTAAAGCAACCTTGATGGCGGGCTGTCCAAACTCACTTTGAATACATCCAGCAAAGGGGAATGCACCACCTTCACTACTCTCCTTGTTCCTTTCTAGCTCTCAGGTTAATCAAGCAAGTACTGGTAACTACAGGGGAAATTAGTTAAGGATTCCTATTTAGAACCTATTTGTTCTCTCTGATCATTCATTCAGTGAGCTCTCTCTCCCTGGAATCGGGTTGTCTTATAGTTTTCCTACAGTCTCTGCTTATTCAGCAGGAAGTAGTCATCCACAACATGCAATCATCAGCTTCAGGACACAATGCTTCCTATCAGGAACTAATCAGCCAATAAAGGTAGACAGTATCATCATGCCCTTCTCCAACATGTTCCATTCTATTATTCAATAACTGAAAATAAAAATATTTTAAAATTTATATAAACTTCTCTGAACTGTATTTTCCTAAATATGCATGAAAAGCAGTCCTACAAAGAGTAACATTACATCCATCTCAGCATGACATAATCACAAAGAAATGCTTACCGGTTCAGTCAGACTGCTGTCTTTTTCCAAGAACTGCACAACACAATACGCCAACTGCAGAAAAAAACAGTATTATCAACTACTATGGAAATGACTGACCAGGGGCAACACGTAAGTATTGAGGTATAAATCTAAGATATTTATAATTGTGGGGGATTAAACTGCAAATTAAATCTGCCCCTAGCAACCATATGTCTCCTAGCCCACTAAGGCTGCAATTCTATATACATTTATCTAGACTCATTTCTGTGTAAAAATTATCCAGCAGAAGAAAGCACGAGCTGCAATGGGAAGTACCAGAAAAGCAGCTGAGAGAAATTTCTCTATCGTTGCTTCTGCTCCTTGCTCCCCCATCACTTGCACTGTTGCCTGCTTAGCCTTGAGGTAGAAGCCTCATTGCTTGCCACTTCAGAAGCAGTTGAGGCTCTCTGGGACAGTTGTCCAGCCACTGACTGTTTCTGAGAAGGGCTGCATTTATGGCCAGCTGGATAGCAATTGAAGAATTGACAGTTTTGTACTAAGAATGATTTTGGCATTTAGATAAATTATCTGGGAACTAAATGTTTTGCCAATGAGGTGGACAATATTCAAAAGGATATGATGGGTGGATGGGCTTGGAGGAGAAAAAGGACAGAGTACTGTAGGAACATAGATGTTGCAGCTTACAGAGAGAGTTTAATCAGACAGGGTCAATTAGATTGGCCCACCCCTGACAACTTACTGACCCTCTTGGGTTCTATAGGGAACTTCGGGTTTTCCCAGAGGACTTGGTGGGCAGTTGCACCAAGGCATTAGGTCACAGCCTTGAAGAGGCTGGTGGCAAAGGCCTTGGACCACATTGCTTCAATGCAGTCTCTCCCTGTGAGCTGATCCCATGATGCCCCTTAGTTTTCTGAGAAGCTCCAAAGACGAAACACTAAGATGCCTGGAGCTCCACTAGAGGAAGACAAATAATGAATCTGATCAAACATGAGTAAGAGCCCATATTCGGGATTACATTATGGGATAAGGGCAGCAAAACATCATTACCTTTGCTCTTATTGCATCTGCCCTGTGATTCAGTCTGTGCTAGAGAAGGAAGAGTCACAGGAACATCTACAAGGCCACTGTGAAAAATATTCTAGCTATCTGGTGGATGAAGTTGCTGAGATCCACTTAGAGTTTGATTCTGACTGGGTAAGTCCAGTTTAAGTTATGGTGCCTGAGTTATAGTCTTGCAGCCTTACCTGGACTGAGTTTGAGCCTGTGACTTCTGATGAAGTGGACAGGGTCCTTCTAACTGTGAGCTCAGCCACCTGTTTATTAGATCCATGTCCCTCCTGGATTGTTAAACTGCCTGGGAAATGACATGTGGTTTGGTCCATATGATGGTGTCAGCCTTTTTGAGGGAAGGGAATGGTTCCTCCGGTCTTAAAAGGGGGTGTGTGCCCCCTCCTCAAGACGTCATCCTTGGGCCCAACAATCCTGGACAATTTTCCATTGGTTCAGAGATACTCAATTGTACACCCCAGGCTATTCAAGTGATGCTGTTGATGCCCTATTCCAGTAACTAGATGCTATGCAAATCTGGATGGGGAAGAACAAACTCAGGCTTCATCCGAACAAGACCAAATGGCTATAGGTATTTGGGCCTCTGGTCTGGGAGACTTTCCATCTCTAGTCTTGAATGGGGTAGCATCTCCCCATTCAAGACTGGTACACAATCTGCGAGTCTTCTTGGACTCATAGCTCAAAGAGTAGGTAGCAGCCCTGACCAAAAGAGCCTTCCAACAAAATCACATAGTGCACCAGTTGCATTCATTCTTGGCTTCAAGGCCCTCCAATCAGTCACTCACACCCTAGTCATGAATGGACTATTGCAATGCACTCATGTTGGGCTGCCCTTGAAGTTCACCTGGAAGCTACAGATGGTCCAAAATGCGGCAGCATGGACAGTGATAGGATATCACTGCTCTTGAAGCTGCACTGATTACCATTTGGTTCCAGGTGCAAAAGCCCTTCGTAGCATAGGGCTTGGTCATTCGAGCAATTGCATATCTCCAATAGTTTCTCCCTGTCCTATAAGATCAGGTAGAGTAGGCATCCTCTAGTTCCCTTTGATTAAACAGTGTCATCTAGTAGGGCTCTGGAAGTGTGCCTTCTCCATTACAGCACCTGCTCACTGGAACAGCATCCCCATAAAGATACATATGACTCCCATCCTGATGATTTCAGGAAATCCGTGAAAACCAGGTTATTCTTCCAGACCTTGAGTAGGGTGAGTGTTGAGCTCTTGTAGAATGTTTTATCTGTAATGGGGTTTTTCCCCCAGATAACTATGATCTTTGTTTTTTTTATTATGGTTTCTTGTTTCAAAGTTGTAAACTGCCCAGAGTCTTGTGGAATTGGGCAGCCTCTAAATTGTTAAATTAAATTAAACTATATTGTCACAGTCTTCTCAGTTCTAAGGTACTGGATGTGGTTAGGGTTAGTACAGTGAGCAGGGAAGTGGTTTATGAACCTCAGTCTCTCTCTGGTTTCCCAGGCTGAGGAAACAGCCAGGAGCTCCCTTACCAGTTTCAGCTGATATACCTGCATCCTTTTTTGGAAGTTAACCTGAAAACTGCATACACTAGTAATCTCCATTTGACTATAATATTAGGACTACATGGGACTATATTTGTGACTTGTCCAGAAATTTCACTTGGTACAAATGTCAACAGTCAGGTTGGTCTCAGAAAGAATGCAAAAAGACCATATTACACTTGTGCTTGAAGCACTGAGTGCCAATTTATTCCTGGGCAAAATGCAAAGAACTGGTCATTACTTTTCAAGCTCTACATAGCTTAGATGCAAGCTATTTGAGAGAACGCCTCCTTCAGTAAGAATCTCACTGAGACAATCTGAGGAGGCTTGCCGATGGTCGCCATTGAGTTCATCTGGCAGTGATTTGGGATTAAGCCTTCTGTATCATTGCTCCAGCTCTGTAGGATGCACTCCCTGCAGAGCTGAGGGGCTTCACATCTTGTATTAGCTTTTAAAAAGGTCCTTAAACAAGTATTTGCATGCAAGTTTTAAACTGTTAACTTTTATAATCATTCTATTTATTTGTTCTAACTGGTCTGTGCATTGATTGCAATATCTTGATTTTAAATTTATGATAAAAAGCAAAAATATTTTGGTAGCTGCCAGTTACAGGTAGTCCTCGAGTTACAACTGCAATTGGGACCGGGATTGCTCTCACTAAGCGATACAGTTATAAAGCGCGATGTCACATGACTATCGCTTAGCAACAGCAATCCAGGCAGCCCCGGTTGTCGTCATAATCCAAGACATATGGGTCATTAAGTGGAGGGAGTCCCAGGTAAGGAGTGCAGGAGCGCTGCAGGGGGTGGCAGAGGCTCTGGGAGGCCCAGTGCAGGCCGTGCGAGCTGGTTGCCAGGCACCCACATTTTGTTCACATGATCGCAGGGTTGCTGCAACGGCCAGAACTTTGAAGACCAGTCTTAAGTCCCTTTGTTTCAGCACTATCGTAACTTTGAATTGTCGCTGAATGAATGGTCATAACTTGAGGACTACCTGTATCTCATTAAATAATACATTTTTTTAAAAAACATAAGATCATACTAGTTGATTCAATTTATACAGCACACTAAACCATAATATGGTTTTGTTGATTTTAGTCTCGCATGTTATGTGAACCCAAACCAATTATAGTTTATTCACTGTACCATTATCAATCACACCATGACTTAACCTGATATTTGAACCTCCTTCATATGTACTTTTAAATGAAAGTGTTTCCAGAACCAGAGGTAGCCAATGGAAGACTGCAATGAATTGTTAGGCCTCTGGTTGATTTGCAGCAGACCAACTAAGCCTATGGTTTCTGGTCCTCAACATTCAACAAGTAAAACTGAGAGATCTTTCCCATGACTGGCCTCATGTTAATTATTCATTTAACTTCACTGCTAACCATCTGTTAACCCAGGTATAGGTTTGTATTCAATGTATATGATTAATAAATTATGGATCTAATGTAGATCAATCTCCACCGTCCCCAACAAAAAGTTGTCTTAAAATGTTTGAGGACCCTCTAAAATAGCCAGGAACTAACACTGAAGGATTAAAGGAAATCATTGCCTCCCACCCTCAGGGGAGATACCACTGGATCTTGGTCATTTTTGCAGACAGAGCTCTTCTGTTTACTAAGGATCAGGTCTGGACCCAAACTATAGAATTCCGTGTCAGAGTGACAGACATTGACTAACATGTCTAAAAAAAAAAAGTTAAATAAATCCACGAAGGGCAAAGATAGAAATAGCTACTAGTTATACAGGATCTTCTGAATGAATGTTTGTGTTTTCCTAATGAGAAGCAAGACAGCACATCATACAGGCCTTTGGTCTAATCCAACAGGTCTCATCTTACATTTCTAATATAATCACACTAATTAAAATAACATTAGGAATTGATAAGCCAACTGGAGAACCTGGGAAAATGTACTGGGAAAACAAAAGCAGGTATTATGGACAGAGTTGTAGACTACTACCCTACAGAAAGTCCAACAAGTTAAGAAGCAATGCTTCTAAAATTTAAAGTCAGACAAACAGGACCAAATCTGCCTGTCATTTCAGGGCACTTACAGAATGTACTGTATGTTATCAGAATGAACTTCTTACCTGAGGGTGGTAGACACTCAAAGATTTCACTTTGTGTAATGGTAGCAAGACCCGGATGAGGAACATTTTGTGCTCTTCCTTCAAGGGCAAAGCAAATCCATTGATTATACTGAGAAAGGAAAAAATCATAAATATCAAGGACTTGTATCTGTGTATATGTATGTATACACAGCTGTTCCCAGCTCCCACCTTGCTGTTGCCACATCATCAGGATATCCTACAGGAAGTATCTGCACAGCTCCCCAAGAACTCAATGGCATAATTCATAATGTATGGGAGGGAGAGACTCTTGCAGGATGAAAAATGGAAAACGCACCTGACTGCCTGGTAGTAATCACCAAATACTGCCTAGTAGCTTCCTACTAATAAAAAAAATAGAGTAACAGAGAATTATCTTACCTCCCTAAAATCTCTAGCAATTCTGCAATCCCATTGTGATGTTCTGTCTCATAAATAAACCTGGAATATAGAGAAGGCATGTGTTATACTACTAAGAAGCTGGTTTCACGAAGATAGTGATATGTACCTTGCATTACAGAAAGATTCCCATTTTCTGGCACAGAAAACCCAAATTATACAAAGATAAGCATATGTGCATACATCTGTTGATTTCCTTCTGTTTCTAATACAGGGGTTTACAAGGACATGTTTATGTTTAGACAAGGAATTAAGACTAGAAGATACAGAGACTGGGTGTAAAAAGGGGCAGCAAAGAAGAATCAGATGGAGGGATGGGAAATGCACTAAACTCTGAAAAGCTGAAGTCTAACTGATAAGAATCTAGCCTTGTTCCTCACTTTTCTGTCAGGTTCTACTCAACTACTCTGAAGATTTTCATTTGCAGCTATGATTTAGAGATTTTTCTAAGAAGATGCTTCATAAGGGACGCTTTTTTCACTTATCTGCTCTGACAAAAGACCTTACAGGAACATAGCTGAACAAGTTTAGGGCAAAAACCAGCAACATCTCCCAGTCTGGGTCCTATCACATGTTCCTATAAGATGGCTCAAAGCTCCCTCACTCCTATGACTGAAAGCTGGTAAGATCTCACGTAAGAATGACAAGACAACATATAAATAGGCAGGGAGAATTAACTAAAAATCCAGGGGCTCTTGTAAGGGTGAATGGTTATCTCACCCCAAGACAAGACTTATTTAATCTATGATTCTGTATCCAATTTAAAATTATTCTGCCCAAACCATTTCCCATAAACTAGACTGCACCATTCCTGGCTGCTGTCAGTAGTTTAAAAAAAAAATCCCATTTTAAAAAATTATATTACCATATTTTTCTAGGAATAAATAACCTGTGCCCTCAGGTGAGTTAGAACTGATCTCCTAGGTATAGCCAGAATACCCAATAGCAAAGGGCTATGGGAATTTCAGCTTGTTTATCCCTGCCCGAGGTCAGCTTATTCAATAGTTTTTCACCTCCTCACTTAACTTATGGAGCTAAAGAATGAAACAGGATCCCAAATAAATTCAACTCACTCCCCCAACTCAAGATAAATGTTTCATCCACTTAGTAAATTATTACCTACTACTACTACTTACCTATAAAATATGTTGTTGATCTGTCTCCTTATATAAGCTCGGAGGCCCAAAAACTTCCCATAAATCCTATGCAAAATTGTCTTCAGAAAGTCTCGTTCTCTGGGATCTTCACTATCAAATAAATCCAGCAGCTGCAGGAGGAGGATTAAATACAATCTATTTTATCCCAACCTATTCCAGATTGCTCAGCTTGTGTTGGTCTTCGGTTCTATGTTAACAATCTGGAGATAAGCACAGCTGGAAGGTGTCAGCACAAGGAGACAACATCTTTAGCCATGAAGCAATATCTTTAGCCATGAAATTTCCTAAACTACCCAGCACACAAGGCTGTGATGCTTTTCAAAGGACTCCAATAATGCACACTGCAACTTTACTTAAAACTCTGATGGATCACAAATGGAGAAATACAACATCAACAAGTATGTTGTATCTGTAGTTTGCTTTGCCCTTTTCATATGACAAGGAACTCATCTATTTCATTCATGAACAGCCCAGACAATTGATTTTTTTAAAAATGTAATTATACTTTTATATAATTTCACAATTATATTCTCACAGACAACATACACTCACTTGTCCTCTGGAAAGTCAAATGTATAGAAGATTTGCAACACTAGAAAGTTTTTGTCCTTTTGTTAAGATTATTTATTTGATAGGAAAATAGGATTTTCATTTTCATCTAATTTCCTTGAATTTTTAATGATACTTTCACACTTTAAAAAAAAATACACTTATTTTTGTTGGTAATTATTCTGTCAATTTAAACCATATGTTTTGGTAAAATGTAAAATATATTCAATCACTTTATTCTGGGGGGGGGGAGTTAATTTAACAAGAAAAATTACACATTTTTTTTATGTTTTATTGATTTTATTGTAATTTCTTTGTTGTGAGCCAGAGTCATTGAGAGTCGGATAGCATACAAGTTTAATTAAGTTTAATAATAATAATAATTAGAAAACAGTACATATTACTATCAGGATAAACTACCCTGTAAAGCAAAGTACAAAAGAAAAAAAAGGAAAAAAAACATGTAGGACCTACATTTCTTTGTATGATAACTACTGCTAAAATGAAAAATAAGCAATTCAGCAGTACAATTGGAAAATTATCTGCTACAGGATCTCTGGATTCCCAGGAAAGGTTTCGGCTTGCTCTTCTGCGTGGAGCTAAAAGCAAGGAAGAAGAAGGAAGTGATGGCTACTTACTGACAACACAAACTTCTGGTCAATGTATTTCTTGGCTATGTTCGGCTGAAAGTCTGGAGACTCCAAGAACCTCAGAAAGAATTCATATACCAGCTAAAAAAGGAATGAGACAGAAAAGGGGTTATTTACAATATTATTACAGAAAAAGTAAAGGTTCTTTCAAGTCAAGTTTGACTCATGAATATTTCATGGAGGCATGAGTTTTGTTTTCTTGGCAACAATGCTAAAGAGATTTTGTTTTCTTCTAGGACATTTCCTCAACTTCCCAGTCTAGCCTTGTAGCCTTGAGATTTCCTGGTGGCCTCCCTCCTAAACATTAACAAAGTCTATCCCTACTTGGCTTTTTGAGATCAGCCAAAGGTAGCTGAGGACTTGCTGTTTGGCATCAATTTTTTTCACAGTTTGCAAAACAAAATACAGAAATCAAAGTTCAGGTGCTAGGGCCCACCCAAATGTATCTGGCATCATTTTGGATTCAGTATAGAAGCCTTATTCCACTTCATACCAATGAGTACTCATTCTCTCTAGCAGAAGCCCTGAGAGCTGTGTTTCTATAGTACAAAGATAATTGAGTCTGCAAATGCAAACCCTTCCCTGCACAAATGCCAAAGCAGGAGTGGCGTGTGCCTAAGAAGGTCTGTTGATTTAGGCTGAAGATATATGTATGCAAAGTTAATCCATTATGGAGTCACGCTTCTCCATTTGGAGCAGATATGCACTTTCCAGTCTGAATTAAACCCCAGAAAAACAAAGCTATGTACTGCTTGACCAGTTTTTGTGACAATCACAATTCTACCTCCCTCTACAGCCAGAAGTACAGTATAATATATTGAGTGACCTCCACTCCCCTCAAGCAGGGCTGGGCAATTTTTGGGTAGGGAGGGAACTGCAGTGGGTTGGGTAATTTAGTAAAAATGAGTAAAGCTGAATCACATACATGGGCAGGGCATCCCTTCTTTCTCCTGAGTCTGTGTGAGTGAATTTAGCTGATTTAGGACTAAGTCCTAAAAATGATGCCACCAATTTTCAGCAATTATTATTAAAATGTAGTTCCGAGGGCCATAAAAAAGAGGTGAGAGCTAAAAATGACGCCACCAATTTTCAGCAATTATTATTAAAATGTAGTTCCGAGGGCCATAAAAAAGAGGTGAGAGCTAAAAATGACGCCACCAATTTTCAGCAATTATTATTAAAATGTAGTTCCGAGGGCCATAAAAAAGAGGTGAGAGCATCCCTACAATTTGTACTATAACTTGTAATTTCTATAGCATCTCTATAATTTGTGATCCTGGCTGGTGGATGATGGGGAGCTGGGACTTATCTGTATTTTTTTCTCCAATGCATTTTACAGTATATGTCTCTTTGATTTTGTTGTTGCATTTTCATAGCGTTTTAACTCTCTTTGCCACCCAGATTGTCTTGATTTGGCAGCTTTATAAATCCAATAAATATTTATTATAACAAGATTTCATTTTTAAAAAAGCTTGTTTTTACAGCAGCAAACACATATTTTATTGGATGTACATCTTAAAGAAAGAATAAAAAAACCTTCATTAAGTTTGGTAAACAGAACCAGACCCGTTACCCATTCAAAAATGATATCCAGAAAATCAAGAAGAACACTTTTTCACAACTGTGTACTTTTATTCAGAATACTAAAAAAGATGTTTAATGAGAGGCAAATTAGGGATAAGATAAACATTACTGTGAAAAAGAAATTAAAAAAAATAAGGAAATGTGAAGTACTGGAGAATTATCACTGCTGACTGGTATAAGAAAAAGGAGTCAAATGTCTCCAGGGAAAGCTTTTATCTTTCATTTTTCAGCTTATCAAACAACAGACATAACACAGAACTTTTCAGAGGTTGGCAAAAATGTTAATTGTTAAACCATTTTAATATTTTAATATTTCTGTTACTGCTAATTTTAATCTAGATTTTTCTATCGTTTTGTTTTAAATTTTATTAGGTATGAGTGCTCACCAAAGCAGAAAGGTGGGTTATACACTGAATCCAATCAAATGCTAATTAGCTGCCCAGAGTCATTTGGAGTTAGGCAGATCCAAATTGAATAAAACATAAAATAAAATAATTAAGTAATTCATTACAGAAGGGAGTCTAGTTCAATAATTAAAGATTGCATTATACTCATTTCAGTGGCAACTCCATGTCAACTCCAGGCTTTTTCTTCTCCCACTATGGCAGGATGAGCTGCCCTAATGAACATGGTGAGTTACAGTCAGTCTCAAGGTTAGGGCTTTTGTTCACTTGACACACCATGCAAAGAGTCCCACAGACACGTAGAAGCTTCTTGCCTAATTAAGATACATGTAAGCAGGCACATCTGCCTTTTAGTGAAAATCAGCTCTATCCTCGATGAACATTTTTAGTCTCCTTTTAGAACTATCTAATTTGATGGGTGCACCACATCTGATGGCAGAAAACTGCATAGTTTCATATCTAAGCTAGTTCTCAACTGCTCCAAGGAGAAGCATATAGGTAGGTCATGGTCTAAAGCAGGGTGGATAACTTTTTGTAGGCCAACAGCTGAACTCAAATAAATGGGCATAAACATATTGAAAAAGTTGGCTGTCCCTGAGCAAAAAACACAAAACATCTGTGTAGGAGACCAGCAATATGATGCAATCTTCAGATTGACCACAGTGGTCTAAATTCATATGATCTAGCAATTTTTCTAAACATCAAATTTCTAGCTCAAGTCATTGCTTAAACATTTCCATTAGGGGGAAAAGAAGGATACTAACATGGCAAAGTACTGTTTTATTACCTGGAGATGTGGCCAAGCAGCTTCTAGTGTAGGTTCATCTTCCTCAGGATCAAATTCTGCTCCTGTAGGATTAGATGATGGTGGAAGTGTCCGGAAGAGATTCACTGAAAACTGAGAAATGTGATAATAAATTTGAGAGGTTTCTGCAGACTCAATGGCTCAGTGGAATCCCTCCCTATTAGGAAACTGCTAACCAAATATTAATTTTCTCCAGAGGCACACCTTCTCCCCAGTTCCAGGAAGGAGAAAGCTTCATAAAAAATACAAAACACTGTAAGTCTGTAATGAGAAACATTCTCCTCAGTATTCCATGACTTGCTGATGTCTATTTCTAAGCATTACTGTGTACCCATCTCTCATGCTATTAATGCACATCACGTTCAGCCTATCAATAAATTGACTAATACTGTCTAGCCAACTGATTTACATCCAGGTGCTCGCTTTCTCCAGCTCCTCCATGACACCCCTTTAGATACGTTATTCGGAAGCCTGCTTTAAGCACTGTCAAATTCTAACCATAATAGGGAGCCAGAGAGATTAGTTCTAGCCATAGCCACTCACCTCTTTCTCTCAACAAGAAAGGTATGAAGTGGAACTGCAACAGCTTTATGTGACTGGGAACACAAGCTTCCTGATTCTCAGTCATGTGAAGCACTGCAATCTCATTCAACCAAACGTGGCTGAAATACCACTTCATACCTCCCTGCCCAACAGAAAAGTCGGGGTGGAAAAGGGGAAACTAGAGCTCACATACTCATTTCCTTTCCATGTTTTAGACTTTAAAAAGCCTGTTAAAAGGATTCAAATGAACCATCAGAACACAAGTTTTTGGACTTCACAGAATTGAAACAGGAAAGGGCCATTAGGCCATCAGTACCTCCCCCTTTAGTGTAGGAATCCAAATTAAAGCATCCCCAACAGACGGCTTTTCAGCTTCTGCTTGAACACATCCAGAAAAGGGCAATTCATTACTTCCCACTATTGAATTGGTATTATCATTAGGAATTTTTTCTTTTTAACTGATAACCACTTTCCTGTCATTTAAGATCATTCTCCTGCGATTTGGGATGACAGAGAACAGGTCTTGACCTGGGTAACATCCCTTCAAGAACTTGGAAGGTATTATTATATTCCCAAGTTATTATTGTATGTTATTATATTTCTTCTCAAGACTAAACATACCCAGTTCCCTTAGTTTGTTCTTATAAGACTTAGTTTCTGGTCCCTTGATCATCCTTATCACCTTTCATTGCATCTGTTTCAGTTTTTAGGTGCTTTAAGCCAGATGCAGACAATTCAAGCTCTTATGATCACATATAGCCTTCTACAAGCTCCATGGGTGAAGGATTTTTTCAGTACTTTGGTTGGTTTTTTTAAGAGCTGAAATCTTAACCTGTACAATGGTTTAAGGCATACATTTTGCTCCTTAAAAACCAGCCTGAGTGTCTTATTCCCACTCACTATGGAGTTATCATGACATTACCAACCCTAACCTTCTATAGCCTCCTAAGTAAGACCCCAGGCTGAAAAAAAGTTGCCCATCACTTTAAGCTGCTTTGCTGGGAGCAACACCCAGAAGTAAATCAATCTTACCATGATAACTGCTTCAGGATAAATGGCTTCTGTGACAACATCCCGATTATGAGTAATGTATTCCACCATTTCATTGAGTCCTGCCCGTTTGACCTCTTTGAATTTCAAGTCACTGAGTGGGTCAGAGACAAAGTCAAAGAGGACACAGCACTGTCGTAGCTTCTGTATGAAGAGCTCTTCCCGTTCATGAGGAGGAGCATCTGAGGGAGAAGACAAAAGGCAAAGTATTTCCTTTCTACTCTAAGTCTTTTGCTGGATACCAATATCCAAACAGACCATACAGCGGCTTTTTTCCTCCTTCCTTGTACCATTATAAGGTTTCTTCTGTTCTCCATAGGCTCACTCACTACTGTTGTGATGGATAAGATGTTCATATTGTTCTCCAGTTATCAACCATGTGGGAATTTAAGGCAAGCTATTATCTCCTAGACCCAGCCCCTCTCCAATCTAGTAGCCCTGAAAAACAGGCTAAACAGCCCTGAAATATAAGCCAACAGTAGCAAGAGCAGATAAAACAACTGTAGTGCTTCAAATATTAAATGTATCATCTGTACTTTCTCTCATAAAAAGAACTGTTCTCCTAGGTCAGTTCAACACTCCATCTGACTAGTCCACAATTCTGTTTTCAATAGCTCTCTTTCAATTTATTTCCCTATCCATCTGTTTCCTTCTGAACTACACCTTAAATCTTACCAAATAATTGAAGCATAACTACTTCTGATTTCTTCCACAAGCATCAGATAACACTGGCATGCACTCAGTATTTTGGCTGTGAAGATGATTTTTCAGATAAACCAAATGAGCTCATGGCAAGGAAATTCTACTTGCAGAAGACACAGAACTTGCAACCAGATGTTACAGACCCAGTCACCCAGATTCTGCACTAGGAGCACACACAGAATACTAAGCAATCTGGGTGCTCCTGTGAGCTATGTGATCGAACACAATCAACCTATTTATTACCATTAAGAAGTACAGTATTTATTCAATTTTATATAACCAGGCATCACAGTCTTTCTCCCATATGGGAATATGATGTCCTGCAAATTAAAAATCCTATATGGCATCCCAGGGCAGGAGGCATCTGAGTACAGGGCCCTACTATCCTCTGCATACAGATTCCCAGGGACAAAATGCCTCCAACATCCAAACCTTTCACACACTTTACACACTTTACTACCTTACTTCTTAGCAAATATATAGAAACAACTTGTGCTGAGTAGGGGATTTGGCTAATCCATAATATGGTTTATTTATGGTCATCCTTTTCTCTAGGAGCCCGAAGTGGTACATATAGGAAGTCTCCCCTCATTTTATCATCATAACTTTGTGAAAGGAATGCACTAAGAATGTTTGACCCCAAATCATCCAATGAACTGCATTATTAAGTGGGGATTTAAACCTTAAATTTTATCTTAACTATTACACAACATCAGCTTTGTGACTTTGATAATTATCTCATCCATGCTCTGCTTGTAAATTCCTTAACCTCATGAGAGAATAACTACAATTATTTATATCTTCTAAGTGATAGATCACGGACAAATTTAATGCAATGCAATGCAGTGTGGTATCTTGCCATACTTAAGAGGTATTTCCTCTTCTGTACTGCAACCACTCAAATAAGCATGGTTGTTAAAGTCGACTGTCTCTTTGCAGAAATCTTCCTAACAACTCATTGCCATTGGCTAGCCCAGGGACTCCAAAATCTGTTCTCACCTTTAAGGGCAGGAAGCTTTTGAAGCTCCCGGTTTTTGCTTAAGTTGAAACGAGAGGAACTTTGCCGTCGCTCCTTCTTTACAATCTGTGGTCCCCCTGAATACTTGATCTTATTCAGCTGGGTTGGTGGAGGGGTACTGTTGCTGGGACGCTTATTTGAGGGCTGCTGCTGTTGCTGCTGCTGTTGCTGCTGCTGCTGGGTCTGAAGAAAGAACACAGAATGCACACAAACAGGCTTTATTGTGATCTGTAAATTTTTTTTAAAAACCTATCCAAATTACATCACTAGGATTTCAAAAATATTTACTTTGCAGAACTTCCAGTAATAGCCATTTGGTATTCAAAGCCTGGAATTAAATCTCCTGGGGAATTATCCACCGGAAGGTCCTAACACAGTATCTAGGAATTAGTGCCCTTTAGAGTCACCCACTGCTGATAGATAAAACTGGAAGGGAGGGTTCCCTTCAGGTCCCTCCTCTAAAAGAGCATTAACATCTGAATATGGGCCTTTTCAATTACTGTCCCCCTTCAGTGTAACAGCACTTGCCCAGGATTACATCAGCACCAGCCCTGTTGGCATTTAGGAAAACCATTAAGATCTGGTTTCTGTAGGAAGCCGTTGGGACTTTGATTTGAGAGTTAGGATTCACCCCATAAACTGACAGTTAAGCTATCTTGCTATGATTATTCCTTGATGTGGTATATTCAAATTATGGTATTGTTATATTATGTTACTGAATTTTTAACCTGTTTAATTAATTGGAGCATATAGATAATTACATTTAACCAACAGGTTTTTTTTTTTTTACAATTTTTAGTGAGGTTTCTAACAGATATATAGAGAAAAAATACATTTATGACTACATATACAACTGTGTCTCACATACACACATTTACTAAAAGGTGGGAATCTCCAGGACTGGTTTCAGTTGGATTTGTATTTAAATGTATCTTTCCTCTCTACTCTTCCTTTGAGGAGAGGCTTAACTTTGGAGTTCTTTTAATTTTAGATAGATATGGTGCCTACAATATGGTACTGATTGTACCAACACCCAAAAGTGCTCAATATTATTCCTATCTAGAAGATAACACTGCCCAGAGAGGCCCAATCCAGACAATACTGCTATTATTAACCATGTCCTGTATGTATGTATTGATCCTTCTTCCTTCCTTTTATAGTTCAAGCAATCATACCAGAAAGACTCTAAATCAAAGACAAATTTCCCAGCCTACTTTGTTTTATTCTACGATCATGAGAGGTGCAAAACTACAGCTCAGGTAGATAGACCTATGTGAAAAATGTAGGAACAGTCCAGGATCAATCAAGGAATCTGTGATCTATAGTAAAATCCAACTCACCAGTGCTTTTCACACAAAAATCACCTTTCTTTTCCTTCTGACTATACAGATAATCCTCAGTTAATGAAGGTAACTGGGACCGGAATTTCGGTCGCTAAGCAATGTGGTCAGAAAGCACAACATCACGTGATCACATCACTTAGTGACGACAATCCCGGCAGTCCCTGTTGCTATCATTAACCAAATCCCACTGGTTGTTAAGCGAGAACCCACCCCAATCCAAGCCATTCCCAGCTTAGTCCTTCCCAGCCACAAGCCTCGGTAAGGTAAGGGACTGCTTCCTCTTGAACTCCCCCCACCTGCGGGCATAAGTGCAGGCAGGCTGCCAAGTGCCCAAATTTTTATCACGGGACCGGGGGTGACACTGCAATGGTTGTAACTTCAGGGACCAGGCATAAATACCATTTGTTCAGCACTGCCGTAACTTCGGTCACTGAACGAATGATCATTAACTGAGGACTACCTGTATATGCTCTGATTAACCACAAACTCTTATCCTGCCCAAACAAAAAAATTACAGTTACCAGCTTTGGAACAAGGCAGAGCAGTAAAACAGAATTTGAAGTTGGTTTAATAAACTGGTATGTTCCAATGCTAGTAACCATAGCCTTGTAGTTTAAACAAAATGGGAAACAACAGTTAATTTGAACCTTTCTAATTTCATTGCTTATAATGCAAAGGAAAGAGTGAAGCTCCTCTAATAGTTAGCTGGCATAGAAATAATTTAGAAAAAGGAGTAAGCAGGAGCTAGTCTCTCAGCAGAGCCAATAGACAAGACCTAGGCAAGAAGATTTTTCCTTCTGCTGCAGCCTGATGGAATACATGCTTCCTTTTTTTATATAACAACTTTATTAGATTTTTTTTAAAGGAACAGTAAAAACTAACAAAAACTAATATTAAGAGAAAGAAAAAGAATAGAAAATAGAAAAAGGAGAAAATAGTAAAGATCAAAAGTGTAGAAAAGAAAAAGAAACAACAAAGAAAAAAAGAATTGACTTCTGATCCTCTTTGCAACAATATACATCAAACTCTTGCTCTAAATTTAAAACATAACTTCCATTATTTCTATTAACCCATATTATTTCTAA